TTTGAAAATAAAATTGGGCTTAGAGCAATGTTTGCTTCTGAGGAATGGCAGAGAAGTCAATATTGTAAGAAGGGAGATGGTGTAAAAGTGATGGATATTATACTAGCTGACCAAAATTTTTGGGGATCAATCAAGTATTACTTGAAGTGTGTGTTGCCATTGGTGAAGGTGTTGAGGCTTGTAGATGGGGATCTAAAGCCTGCCATGGGGTATATTTATGAGGCAATGGACAAGGCAAAGGAACAAATCCAAAAGAATTTTCGTAATGTGAAGAAGCACTATGAGCCCATATGGACTATTGTTGACACTAGATGGAACATGCAATTACACAGACCTCTTCATGCAGCTGCCTATTATCTCAATCCCGAGTAAGACTTAATTTTCTCAATTTTTATATCATTTTATATCTATATATTGTATGCTGATCAATGATCATTGTAAATCAAAATAATTATTTCAGGTTTCATTACACCGGTAGTGCGGACTATGAGATAAAGATGGAACTATATCAGACTATTCAGAGAATGTGCCCAAGTCCTATTATGAGAGAAAAAGTTGATAAACAATTAGATATTTTTCATAATGCTGATTTGATGTTTTGAATGGACATGGCAATCCAAATGAGGAAGAAGAAACAACCTGGTTAGTGGTAACTTAACTTAAGTTAGTTATTTGAATGCAACTGCTTAAGTTAGTTAATGGAGTATTCTATTGTAATTTTTTATAGCCTTGTGGTGGGAATCATTTGGAGGATGTTGTCCAGAGTTGCAACAACTTGCTATCCGCGTCCTTAGCTTGACTTGTAGTGCCACTGGATGTGAGAGGAATTGGAGTACATTTGACCAGGTGCACTCTAAGAGGAGAAATCGATTAGAGCAACAAAGATTAAGTGCACTTGTGTTTGTGAAGTACAATCTTCGATTGGAGGCAAGACACCAAAAGAGAATACTAGAGGGTGATTCCTATGATCCTATTTCTCTCTCAGATATGGAATCTGATGATGAGTGGATCACTGAAAAAGAAGATGCACTCCTTCCTGAGGACACTACTTGGATGAATGTTGGTGACTGTTTTGAGGTTCAAGAAGGGACTAGCAAAAAGAGAAAGCGAGGTAATTAAAATGTAGTGGTTGTTTTTTCTTCTTCTCCATTACTTTAAATTTTATTTTTTTTATATTTTGTATTGGTTGCTTTGTAGGGCCTAGAAATCTTACTTTATACAAGAAAAAAAAGAAAGCAAATAGTTCAACTTGAAGATGAGGATGAGGATGAGGATGAGGATGAACAAATACAAGAAGTTGAAGATGATAAAGGAAGTGAAGACTTGTTGGCATCCGATCACAATGATGATGATGATGATGCATTTTCAATTGAAATTGAAGATTGAGTTCAAAATGGATGTTAGAAATTTGGATTAGAAGTCTCTTTGGTGTTTAAAGTTTGAATTAGTGAACTATGGTTGTGAACTTTGCATTATAATAGTAGTGGATTATGTTGATAACTTGAATAGTTGGTGGAGTATTAATGAAATGCTATATTTTTTATGAGTGTATGACTTTTTTTCAAAGGTATATATATTTTTTTATTATTTATTTAAAATTGCATCGTATCTTACGATACACGATACGATACAATATTTGTATCTTACGATACGCCTTCCGATACACGATTTGATAACTATGATTTTGCGTATATGTAGAAAATAACTTTTCTGATGAATATGTCTGAGGTACTCTCAGCAGAGCACCACTGACAGATTCATCGTCAACTCACAATAGAAGTGTTTGCTTTGTTGTTACTTAAACCAGGCGAATCTCCTTCCTTTTGTACATCAAGGCTCAATTTCAATGGAAATCATTTTACTTTCCCTAAAAAACAGAACTATCATAATGTGCAACAAGGCTATACAATCACAGCACATTCCAAGGCACTCTTTTTGCACACGTTTTTGGTCAAGGGCTCAATACTAAATACACGACATCAGACACACCTAGTCTGGGACAGAAAACAATGATAAGAAATTAAAGACCATCAATAATACTAACCTTCTGGACTTCAATCTGAACTTGTTCCCAAACTATAACCAGGAACTTTGGCAAGCCTTCTTTCCTTCATAATCCCTCTTATCCTCTCAACCTCTTTCCACAAACCTTTGCTGGCATATATATTGGAAAGAACAACATAAACACCATCATTCCAGGGTTCCAATTCTTGTAAGTGCATAGCCACCCACTCCCCCATCTTCACATTTTCATATTTCTCAGAGGCACCCATCAAACAACCCCAAATCACCACATTTGCTTTCATTGGCATCTCCTCCACCATCCCTCTAGCCTCTTCAAGCAACCCTGCTCGGCCAAGCAAATCTGCCATGCACCCATAATGCTGCAACTTGGGCACAATCCCGTACACATTCTTCATCATGTTGAAAAAATATTTCCCCTCATTCACAGTTCCACCATGCACGCACGCACTCAACACCCCAACAAAAGTCACCTCATTAGGCCTCACGTCTGCTTCTCTCATGCAACGGAAGCATTCAAGCGCATCATGTGCTTGCCCATGCACCGCATAGCCTACAATCATTGATGTCCAAGAAGATACATTTCGTTCTTCCATCCTCGAAAACACCTTATAAGCCAAGTCCATTCGACCACATTTACCATACATATCTATTAGCGAATTCAACATCAAAACATCCGGCTTCTCTACACTTTTAGCTTGAAAAACACACTTATGCAACTGAAGAGCTAGATACAAATCCCCTAAGCAACCACAAGCCGATGTAACAGTAACCATAGTCACATCATCCGGCTCCAACCCACTTTTCTTCAACTCCATGAACATTGCTATCGCCTGCTTGGCACGCCCTCCTTGTGACAAACCTCCGATAAGCGCATTCCAGGAACCCAATTTTCTCTCACAATTTTGTTCAAACACTTTACGCGCATTGTCAAACTCTCCTGCTTTAGAATACATGCTGATAAAACCACTCTCACAAAACATATTAGAGTCGAGACCCAACTTTTTCGCAACAGAATGAAACTGACGAGCCATGGCAACATCGAAATTGATAGAAAAAGCCTTCAAAATAATGGGAAGAGTGTAAGTATCTGGCATGACACCGGCTCTTGACATGGCAATATATAAATGTTGTGCCTTGGTGGGAAACTCCAGTCTTGTGTATGACCTCATGATATTGTTCCAATGAAATGGGGCAGGATTGAGTTCTAGAAAGTACGTTCTGATTAGGTGGGCGTAGAGTTGATTCAGTTGTTGAATGTTGGTACAGTTTGAGACTTCCATGGCTATGATTTTGGCCCGGTCTGCGGTGGCATTTTGGGGTTCTGGGCTGGTTGGAGAGAGAGCACTACTGAGAGGATCGAATGGCGTGGTGGTTGAAGCTAGATTGCGATGGAGATGGTGAGAAATGGTTAGGTGCTTGCGTACTACTTGAATTCTGGGAAGCCTTAGTAGCCGAGGATGAAAAGTGGTCATACGTTTGCATAGTAAGAAACGGAGTAGCACTGGGTATTAATAATAATAATTTTGGAATAATTACAGGGAGTCCCCTCAAGTATGTGGAGGTATCATTCAACTCCATGAACTACTTACTCCTTTCAAATAGAGATAATTTGAAAAAGTAATTGGACACCGTTAAGAGAACATGGATATAATGTTGAGACCGTGTCAAGTTCACTTTGCCACTTGTCAATTTGTTATTGAATAGTGATATTATGTGATAATAAAATAAATACTCAATATTATATGCTGTAATTATCTAATAAAAAAATTAAAAAATATAAAAGTGGCCCCTATTGTCTTACATAGAGTAATGGAGATTGTTACATATTACATGGATGGGTGGTGACTTAATTTTGTGACACTTACATTGCTTATTTGTTAATTTATTAATAGACGATTATACCACATGACATTACTGACGTGGTATAACCGTTGAATCGAATATTAATTTTCTCATGATAATGGTGATGTAGTATCACTATTACACCCAAAATTTACTCTAAACTTTGAATACTCTATTAAATGACCTCTTATCCTAACTAAATTATTACAATTTTTGTTTTGTTAAGGACAAGCATTGGTGCATGGTCTGCCCTAGAAAGCCAAGCTCATGGATTGGGCCATGACAAGTCTTGAATGTTTACTTAGAGGTTGTGGACAACATTATCCCAAACACACACATAAATGTATACATTTTCTCCCTAACCAATAACCTAGAAGATGACTACACATGTACACCTAGACACTCTCTATCTCTCACAAAGTAAGAGATTTCACTCTCGATAAAATATTACTCCCTCTGTTCCTAAATATTTGTCGTTTAAGATTTTTGCACAGGGATTAAGAAAGCTATTAAATAGCTCTAATATGAGTAAAAAATAATTACACAAGACTAAAATATTATTATTCAATATGTATTGAAAAGACAAGGAATATGAAAGACACTTAGCCTATATTTAATCTATTAAGCACTTATTGAAAAACAAAGATAAAAATAAATTTAGAAGAGAAAATATTTATTATACTTTGGTTTCATAAAACGACAGATATTATGAAACAAAAAAAATTATGTAAAATAACAGATATTTAAGAATAGAAAAAATAACATATTTTGAATCAATGCCCAATGGATGGTAGTGAAATGACACTATCTCATATTTGAAAGATCAACAAATCGGATTTTATGAAGGAGTGTTAAGTGACACAGGCCCATAGCTGAGGGGGGCTAACTGTGATTTACACAAATTTTTGTCGTTTCTACCACAAACATTCCGCTAAATAACAATTATATATAATGTTAGAGTAATCCTACATTAATTAAAAAAATATATTTAAAATTTAAACTTAATAATTAAAATTATTAATTTCACTGTAAATTTTAATATTTATTGAAATTTCTATTCGATAATAGACATTATCTAATTTTTAAATTATCGAAAAATACTCGTTACGGGAGCGTCCGAATACCTTGTTTCCTTCGTTTCCTGCAAAAATCATACTCTCTCTCTCTCTCTCCTGAAACTTCCATCTTCTTCTAACCCAATCATAGCTAGGGTTTCATTACCTATTGAATCTGAGCTTCTAATTTTATATGCATCAATGGAGTACCAAACCCAACCTTCCAATCACGACGACTCTTCAGGCAATCCAATGGCGGATGACGATTCATGCGAACCAAATCCAACAGTCCTTGATCTCACCAGCTATCAACTCCATGATTTGGACTCAGTCGACTTTCCGCTGAGTCTAACCGAGTTAGACTTTACGGCGAATCGATTATCGAAATTAGATCCCCGGATTGGCCACCTCTCCAACCTCAAGAAGCTCTCTCTCCGCCAAAACCTCTTTGATGATGCAGGCTTGGAGCCGATTTCCAAGTGGGAAGCCATTTCGGGTCTTGAGGTATACGATTTTAGCTCTAAATGATTGCATTTGACATTGTTGGCCTTTGGTTGTTTGGGATTGCTAGTTTTTTCCTTCTTGTTTGGTTGCTAAGAAAAACGGAGGCGAGGAACAGAATGTTGTTGGACTTAAAATTCCATGAATTCGAGCACACTCCTGGAAAGTATTCGATTTGGCTGCTATTCATTGGAGTTTGGTTGTTTGGGGTTGTGATATTCTTGTTCCTTCGTTTAATGGATGGGAAGATTTAGAAGAAAAGTTTGTTTTTTTAATATATTGTTGAAGCCTACAACGATTTGATCTAGTCTACGGCTTCGAAGTATTTCGTATCTCTGAATTGCTACAAAATTAGATATAAATGTTTTGTGGTTTGGTGTTTGATGAAAAAATTGAGTCTGGACTCCAATGAGTCCAAACAACAGTATGTGGCTTGGTCTTGACTTTTTTGTTCTTAAGCACATACGCAGTTTGCTGTAACACAATCAATGTAGAACCCAAGACTAATCGCTCATAATATTATCCTTAAATAAGACCGAATTTTTTCGATCATATCATAGACAATATCTGCTGATTTCTGCTTAGTTGGTATACTTACTATCTTCCAAATTATATGAAGGATTCACCAGGGAACTAGACAATCAGCCTTAAGGTTGTTTTCTGTGTGTTCTGCACTTGTGCATCTATGTGTGTTTTGTGCATGCATGCTTGAGGCCGTAGTTTTAGTTGCAAAATTTCATGGTAGTTGCATCCAAACAAGTGAGATCAAATTTTGCATTCATAATTTGGAGGAGGGTTGTTGTTGGAAGGGAAAAAAGGTTGTGCATTTTAAGCTTTTTAATTCCTCTTCCATTCATTCTAATTACTGTTGAGATAATGCTATTGCTGTTCTTTTTGCAGGAGTTAGTACTCAGAGATAATCAGTTGAAGAAAATTCCTGTTGTTAGCATTTTCAAAAGACTTTTGGTATTTGATGTTTCTTACAATGAAATTTTATCAATGAATGGATTATCCAAGGTTGCCAACACACTAAAAGAACTCTATGTGTCTAAAAATGAAGTTACTAAGATGGAGGAGATTGATCATTTTCATGAACTGCAAATTCTTGAACTTGGCTCCAACAGATTACGGGTAAGGATTGTGGTGTCTTGAAGAGGGGGTTAGATGCAAAATTAACAAGTGTTTTTAATATCTAACAGGTGCTTACATGTGTCGTGAACTTAAGCAAAGATAAATTGATTATTGCAATTGCAACACTCAACATGAATAGAAGTTCCCAGTGTGGGTGAATTGCATAATTTGTCTATGAATGTATGCTTGATCTTGAAGTAATTAGTTTGCCAATTCAGGTAATGGAGAATTTGCAGAATTTGACATTCTTACAAGAGCTATGGCTTGGCCAGAATCGCATTCGATCTGTTAACCTATGTGGATTGAAATTCATCAAGAAAATTAGCCTACAGAGCAATCGTTTAACCACCATGACGGGATTTGAGGTATCTAATTGTTAAACATTCTGATATTTGGAAATGAGCCCACTTTTATTTGAATCACTTATAATTGGAATTATGGATAACTAGGTTTTTTTTTTTTATTTTTTTTGCTAACCTTCAGGAATGTGTGGCTCTAGAAGAACTATACTTGAGCCATAACGGTATTGTGACAATGAAAGGCCTATCAACCCTGGTGAACCTTCATGTCTTGGATGTGGCATCCAATAAGCTCACCGCAATAAATGATATTGAAAACCTGACCCAGTAGGTGTATCTACCTACTAACGTGGCCGCATAAATCATGTGTTTCTGTTTTAGATTCTAAATGATTTCACTTTTACTCTGGGTCTTTTGCTACAGATTAGAAGATCTATGGCTTAATGACAACCAAATTACATCACTAGAAGGTATAGCAGAGGCAGTTGCTGGTTCCAAAGCGAAACTGACCACCATCTACCTTGAGCACAATCCATGTGTATGTTTATCTACCAACCTAAGTTTTATTAATAAGAGCCTCCATATTTGATATTTCCTTTGCCTACATGCTACGCTGCAGCTTCTTGCTTTCATTGATATTTCGTAAGGACATCTGGTTTTGACTATAGCTAGAGAGCATGAGGGAATCCACAAGTTCTTTGGGATTTTCCCTTTGAGCTTGGCTGGATTGGAACTATGAGCCTTTAGAGTTCAACTTTTAGTTGCGCAATTTAGGGAATTGCCAGTGCCAGTATTGTGAGTTATTGCTGGTTGCAGTTGAATGAGGTGACAGTTGCAACATTCATGGTGGTGGAGTCATGAGAATGAGCGGAGCTTGAACATTACTAGTTCGGTTCGTCTAGGCTTGTGAACAAATTGAGCTTGTATATATAATTTGTTTGCAAGCTTATTCAGTTAATGTTGTTGTCTCATTACCAACAAAGATCCCTCATTGAAGATGAGGAAAAAAGTGGACCTTGGAGTAAATATATAACTGTTGAGTCAATATCCTCTTTAACTGCAATCCCACATTGACAGAATATTGAGGAAGAGAAGGAAGGACCCTTTATTAACAGGTCTTTGGCTGCCTAACTTCTGCTCTCGTGCGCATGAGATGGCCCTGACTCAGCTTGCCTTATTGAGGTGAGCCAAGCTGAGTGCGACTTCAGTTAAGATTTCAACGAGCCGATTACAATCCTGTGGTCCCAGACTTGTTACGAGCTTGAACTGATCTTGAGCATTCTTGAAAAACAGATGAACCGAGCCTGAACACATCAATAGCGGCTCTGTTTGGCTCATTTGCACCTCTTAGTTGGAAATAGAATGGTTTCTTCAATTGGGACCGAGATATGCCCACTGATCGTGGCTGGATTGGAACTATGAGCCTTTAAGGTTCAATGTTCAGTATGCCAATTTATAGAATTGCCAGTGGCAGTATTGTGAGGTGTTGGTGGTGGCAGAGTTGAATCAGTTGACAGTTGCAAGATTCATGGTGTTGGAGTCATGATGATAACACACATATAGCATCAGGCTGTTGAGTCTCTGGAAATTCAGAATTTCAATACTAATTTTGTGAACTTCTGCTAGTAGGATAAAAGAGTCAAGTATTTAAAGCTTTTATTGTTGTTAAAGTAATGGAGGGTGGCCAAGTAGTGACGAGGATTGGGATCAGCACATATTCCTATATGCCTTTTGATGGTAATTGTTTGAATTGCCCTACTTGTGTTTAGATAATTTGCGACTCTCATCTGCCCAATTAATAAATTCTCTGCATGCCTTGCATTTTTGTTATGGTTGCTTATGTTAGTGTGGTAACTTGGTTGATGTTTTGTTGGTCTTTAGGAAGACTATTATATGACGACAAGATAATGGTTTCATCTGCAAATGTCCTGCATAATCATTATGTTTAGGAAAGCCATCGTTACTGTCAAATGTTGACATAAAAATGGATGGCTGTGTATGTAGTTTCCAAATCCTTGAGAAGCAATGGATTTGAAACTTTGTTGACAGTTGATATGTAGTTATCTAATTATGCATGTACTCTAATGCCACTGTCCTCTACTATTTGGTTCTCTTCCAAGATTTAAGTGACGATAAAGTATCATATTCCTGATCACCCGAGCCAAATAAGGAGATTGCATCATTTTCTAATTGCATGTGTTTGTATTGACTCTATGTGATAAGCTGTTATGTGGGTGTATTTTTTTTTTGCTTTTTATGATTAATTTAAATTGACTGCTGTTTCTGCAACATACTGCAGGCAAATTCTCCGAATTATGCCACCACTTTGAGACAAATCTTCCCAAATATTCAGCAAGTTGATTCCCAAGTATTTGGCTAGAAAGTTGTCTCTGGGTTTTACTCTTTTTAAACGAAAAGACAGCTGATTTTTCTTCATTTTTGGGTGAGTAGATGCTGGGTTTATTCCTGTTTATTTAACTGGATCTAAAGAATCCATACTAATCAAGTATCTCAATGGATACATTCCAATGCAAGAGGGTCTGAATTACTGCTAATTGGAGGTACGGAAAGGATTTATGATCAAGTTACACTTATAGCAGTGTTCATTCTGTTCATAATATGGAGCTATCTGTGAATTAGAAGTAGAATTTGAATTATCTATGAACAGGAATTTATCCAAGCCGTGCCTAGCTTACTCAAGAAGTGCTCGTTTTGGTTCATTCACATGGAATTCAAAAATTTGATCAAATTTGATTAATTTTGCAATTTAAACAAGTTGATGGGACCGCTGATCCTATAACCGTAGTTGATTTGGTACACAGTTATTTGGGGTCGGTTATCAAACTTAACAATCTGAAAGTAAAAATACATACTTTCCCACCTGCAAACTCAGCCAGCACAAATTGAGAAACATAGGCATTGGTAAATCAAGGGGTCAAACCATGACCTCAACTGACATAACTTTTTAACGCCCGCTTTCAAAGGCAATACTAGTTCTACCAGATCTCGCATGGATGACCCAGCAATTGCTTTCATAGTTACTCCACTATCCACCTTATCCATGGCTTTCTTACCCTTCTTAACCTCTGTCAAGAACTGGTACAGACCAAATGGATCAGCTTCTTCGGCCTCTCTCTCGAATTCCACAGGTCTATCCCTCGGGCCAGCCTTATCAGAATCAGAGGTGCCCGAGAATGCCTTGATCAGGTTTGAAGTGATCTGTCTTCATAATCTTCTCCAGCTGCTCATCAGCACCTCCATACATATCATTGTCAACATCTTTCTTAGGCCTGTACCGAGTAGAAAGGGTAGGATGGGCAGTAAACAGGCCCTTGTCGTAGTATTGATCATCAGTGGCAAACCCGGAATCCATTCCCTTCTATTGGTTGAACACTCTGGTCATACATAACCTCTCCTCCTCTTCCTGCTCCAGTAGACGCCATCCCAAGAGCAACTTTCTCACTAATGTCACGATCTCTATCTCTGGTAAGGTTACTCTTCTTCCCCATTGCAGCATCCTTGTCCTCCAATCTTCTTTCCCTTTCCCTCTCCCGGCGCTGTTCCTCATGAATTTTCTCCCTTAGCATAGCTACCGACAAAAAGATCTCCTCATAATTGATTCCCTTTTTCTGAGTAAACCTTTTCACAACAAGTCTTGCCTTAAAGCTTTCCACCTTCCTCTCTTTCCTCCTTGGTTCTCCCTAGTGGAGTCCTTCTCTTTTACACGCTCAAATTCCCCACCCGTGTCATGAGCATCCATGACCCCCTTCTCAGAAGACACTGGAACAGCAGCGGGTGGTGCAGCACCAGTTCCCTCAGACCTTGCCTTTCCAGCCAATCCACGCAACCCCATCTCTTTTCTTTCCTTCTCTATCATTCATCATCATCTCCTTCTGAACCTTTGAGCGCATTGCGAAGGCCTCTCTAGCCTTCTATTCTGCAACATACAATGCCTCCGAAAGCTTTGCAAAATTATCATTAATCTGAACATCCTGAAACCTCCTACTGTCTGCCGCCAAACGCTTCTTAAGTGGTATCGTATACCCATTTTGGGTTCTTCCAGTTCGGAATACAAGTGGGGATTTTCCAATCTTGCTGGTCTTCACCGTCACAGGTTGAGCTGGAGAGTGCATAATTGGCACCGGTCCTTCACCGTCACAGGTAAACCAACATCATTCTTTTTCTCAATTTTTATGAAATTCAATTATGTATTGTGACATCTTTATCCAATAAGAAGAACTATAACATCTTTCTTTCAAAAAAAAGAATGATGTTGGTCTAAAAGCCGTTTCTTGCTGGCTGCTGGCTGTTTTGTGGCTATTTTTGGATGCTGGCTGGTTTGTCCCTGTCTTGTGGATGCAGTTGTTTTGCGGATGTTGCTGGTCATTGGTTTGTTTTATTGCTCTGTTTCATTTGGAAGTGTAGTTTTCTGTTTTTCTTTGGTTTTGGGGATGGAGAATCTTGTATCTAACCGTCTACAATATCAAATATCCCTTTGGATTCACCTATGTATTTGAACACCTTTGGGAGTTGTTACCCCTTTTGCTTTGTGCCTTATTTAATGGGTTGATGGATGTGTTGAGATAAAGAATTTAGATGTGTTTTTAGCAAAAAATTAATATAAAGCTAAAATCTACTACAGAAATTAAAGTGATTATCAAACATATTTTTTATATTAGTTTTTAGATATTCTAAAATAAAAATTGTAATCAAGTATATTTTCTGTTTCACATGAAAAAAAATAAAGATTGATTCTATTTTTTCTTTTTTTGAAAACATAAAAATAAAAACGATACTGTATGTAATCGTGGGCTGTGTCATATCCCTGGTCATTGGGTTACGATAGTGAGTTGAGTTATTGTTAAATATGAATAACACAAATATTATGAATTAATGTATTACCATTTTAATTTCTTTCATATAATGTGTAACACCCTAACTGATTTGGGTGCAAATGACCGGTCTTAGTGGCACCTTGCACCAAGGTATGCCATAAGTTGGAATTAAGGTGACACGGCTAAGTGGTTCGACAAATTGGGGCGAATCAAGGCAACATGAGACCACCCGGTTGAGCATGGCAGCACGTGGTGGGCTCAATTAAAGCAATGTGGGTGCATAGCTTCGGATTGCATGGCATGTGTTGAACCCAACATGCACATTGGTTCGTGAAGTAAGGCTGACTGCTGAATGTGGACACATGACTGACACATGGCTGCTCAATGCATGTGACCAGGAGGATGTGAGCAGTTGCAGATGCTGAG